AACGAAATCAATCAGAAGAAGGATACACCACAGATGAAAAACGTATCGCAACAAAAAAATCGAAATTTTGCCATAAAACTCAAAAGGCGTTCATTCGATCAAAGTATCCTGCTAGTGTTGCATGGCAATGGAATATCGGGCATGACAAAAAGAATGGAAATATGACCGCAAGTAAACAGAGAAGGATGGAAATAGTGATGACCAGATCTACTATAAGGGATCATAGAACTAATGATTGGTTGAGGCGAAGAAGCTGGTTTCGAAAGCGAGATAAACATGGGCAAAAGGAACTACTGCAGAGTGTCAAGCAAATATCCGGATTAAGAATAAGGGAAGGAGAAAGGTGGATCCAATTCGCAAGCTGACCGGTCTAAACTGCATGCAGAAAGTGATAATCAGTTATGCTCGTGATGCTATTAAAGGGACTTTCACTCCTAATGAGTGGACAAATAAATGAATAAATAATCAAATCAATAAACAAATAATTAAGATCATCAGAACGATTGACTTTCAACGTTTTTACGTACTGCAGCAATTCACATACCCTCTTACAATCCATTTTCGTCCGATGCGGTCATCTCTCAAATTGTAGCTTCACGCTAATATCATAGATTCAACGACGCAATCGACGAAACAATACCAAAAACAAAAGCGCCAACAGCGAAAAACGGATCGGTTATGAAGTCAGTAATGAAATCACTTGCTTGAAAGGATTGAAGGGCGAAGCACATGCTATGAGTCAACAAAAACTAAACAACATTTCTACGTTGAGTGAAGAATCTGCAATACGTAAGGGCTGCGAGGCGTCACGTTTGAAGTGTATGACACTTCGAACTGCACTATTATTTATCTGATTTTCTTTTGCGAGATCATTACTCATGCGAGCCATTCAACGCCTTCTTCATCTGCATTTTTTGTAGATCAGTGTTCACTATTCATTTGCTTGCTTATTGAGTGTAATCAGCCTGTTTTGTATTTTATGCTTGCTTGTTTTATGATATCGATTACCGTGCTGATAAATTTTTAATTGTTCGATAACAGCTGTACTTATGAATAAAACTTCATGATCTCTTCTCAAGAATTTGCTTGCAGCATGTAGCAAAATGACTTGTGGTGTGTCGCGACTAATGTCGTGAGATAACTGATTTTGATTATTGTTTGTCATTATTATGTTCAATAATACGATTTTTATTCAGTTTTGTTATGCAGTTGCTGGTTTCAATGATGTGACGTATAATGATTCACGACTGTTGTAGTGAATTAGAAACGAATGTACCGTGTTTTTGTTGTTTATCTTTCGAATTCCACTTTGTAATCATGCTGATCACAACCTGCAGGTGTCTTGTACCAAAAATTACTTCATGCGTTTGTCTTATGCGTTTGGTGCAAAAATGTTATCGCAATGCATTTTGATCATTTCCTTAATCATTAATATGTCTCTTATAGCCTGTTAGGGCTTTTCGATTTTCCATTTTCCATTAATCCATTTTAGTTCATTATTAACCAGTACCCATTATGATTGGGCCTTTTTTCATTAGATTGGTAATCGTTTGTTGTGATGCGATAACTAGTGTTCATCATTATTGTTGCTTACAAATGGTTCAATCAACCAGTTTTGACGTTGCAAGAACAAGGTGAATATTGATGCGGCAGTGTGAGAGTGATGATCTGTTGGTGTTATTCGGAGAAATTGTGATATTCAAAGAGTTATCAGAATTTATTGGAACGAGCATCTAAAAAGAAATAGGCGTCTAGCATCTAAAAATTAAGTTTGCGGCACATGGTGAAATTCATTAATGTCGCGGAGCTAGATGTTTTACTTAATGCAATAGATGGATTGCTGTTCGCTTTTTAATTTAATGCCTATTGAATTATCTGCATAAATAATTTCTCATCCCAACAGACACTTTCCTAATATTATTCTTCCGCCTTCAACACTCTTCAGAATCGATTAAATCACTCCAACCATATTTCAATCATACTTTAGTCACTCTCTTGGAACAGAGCCTTACGATCGATTTTTATCAGTGGACTTTAACAAGACATATCAGAGCAGACCAAGCTATAGGCGTTGCATACCGAACAGCTAGTTTCCCGACTTCACAAAATTATTTTCAGTTTGCAATCTGGGCGGAAGGTCATCCTCGAGTGATTCAGTACCGCTACTCTCAGACCAACCTTTCCTCCCTTTGGCCAGGAGTAAGCACACAACCCGATTGTGTTTCACCTCTGAATTTGATACCTTGGCCATGGCGAGAATTGTTGCTATTCTCAAGATGTTTTGAGCGGGTTTGGCTGTCGATGCCACTCAGCAGATGGAACTGCTATAGACTCAAGAATCGAACTACGAACGTAGTCTATCAAACCTTTTTGCATTCAGTTCGACAAATGTGCTTGTTATGATTCAACATACTTCAAATGCACTGTTTATAAACATATAGGCAGCCGTGCTCCCGTCCTGAACCATCTGCAGTACATATCTGACGTTTCTATAGAAACGTCAGTTAGAGATTTTGAAAGGCATCGGCTAGCTCGAGCAAAGAGCTCAACCGAGATGAAAGAGCACACGTTACATGAAGATGGACAAAGCCTTAATGAAATATATGCAGGGATATGAGGTTTTGCTTGTCAATGTTGCGATTATTATACTCTCATATTATTATTTAACAGCAGTATGAGAATTAGATGTTTATCAAATTGTTCTTCATGATGTATAGTTTGATAAAACATTGCAGGCGCGTTTTTCTGTTCTCTGGCCTGCGACCCTATTGATTGTGTGGTGTGAGGTAATGCCATATCTTGATAGAGTACGCTGCCTTCTAGCAATGTCAAGAAATCTGGTTTTCACAGCAGATAAAAAGCCCGCATCAGAACAAACCAATGAACC